CGCCGCGCAACCCCCGCGGGCGCGCAGCCCAGCTCAGCGGCCCCGGAGGGTGGAGGAGAAGCCGGGGGAGGGGGGTGTCCGCCCCGGGACCGCCCTGCCCGATTCCGAGGAGGGGCCGGCGGGGGCCACCGGCGCCGTCCACGTGGCTAGGGGCGCGCTATATGAGCGGGCAGGAAGCCCTGCCGGGGAGGGAAGGGGAGGGACGGGGCGCCCGGAGAGGCTCCGCGGGCAGCGCAGGCAGCAGCGGCGGCAGAAGCAGCACCACCACCACCATCAGCAGCGATCTCTCGTCCTTCCCTGGCCATGGGGCTTGGCGGCCCCCCTGCCCCCCGCACCCCGCTGTAAGTACCGCGGGATCCCCCCCCTTCCTCCTCATCCTCCGCCTTCGTCCCCGCTTACCTGCAAATCCTCCCGTTCCCCCCCCAAAGCCCGCTGCAAAAGGCGCGGCGGGAGCCTCCCCCCTTCCTTCCAGCTCCTCATTCCGACTGTTAAGTTGTGGTTTTTCGGTTGTCTTTTTCTTTTTTTAAAAAAAAAATTATTATTATTTAGAAGCAGGGGGTGGCAGCGGCGCTGGCGGAGCTTGCAGCATCCTCCGGCGGGTACCCCAGCACCCCGAAAAGGGAGGGAGGCTTCGCCCCATCTATCCGGGATTTCCCCGGTGGAGGGGAGGGGGGGGAGGCAGAGGGAGAGGCTGCGAGTGCCGAGGTGGGCTCCGGAGCAAGGAGCACCTTCTGGCCATCCCAACCAACGGGACACCCCCGCAGGCTGCCACCGCGGCATCCCCCCCTCCACGGGGGACCGGTCCTGCGGGGGAGAGTCGCTCTGCTGCAGGGCGGGGGGCAGCGGGAAGGACCAGCCTGGCAGAGTCCTGCACCCTGATTTATTTTTATTTTATTATTTTTTATGTTTTTTTTTTTTTTTCCCCTTGGTTAGGCTGTGCGACGAGCGAGGAAAGCCAGTATTACTCCGTCAGAGGAGGGAAAAAAAGCAGACTAACTGTTTTAGGTACCCGCTCACATATCTCTGCTTGCAGAATTAATTTCCAGTGGAGTATAAATAACTAATCTTCGACTTCAGCAGTTTGGTTGTTATGTGTGCTTTTATTGCGCTTAATATATTTATCTCTATAGCAAACATACATCCCAGGTCCTTACCGTGATTGATTTTAGTCTTGACATAAATGAAAACAAACCGGTAAAAGGATGCCTTGATGCATATTTACTGGTTTGAGACACACAAGATTTTTCAACTCTTTGTAACGGTTGGGCTCGTATGTATCCAATACACTGAAATAACTCATTCATATAATTGTGAGTCTGAATTATATATTTGCCCACTGGGCACACATGTTAAAGGAAAAACCTCCCTAATTATGGATCTTTCAGAGAGATTGGAAGGGTGACAAAGCCCTTGTAATCTTTTGGGTCAATTTTCATAAGCTCCAAAAGCTCTCTTTGAAAAGGAAATTAAATTTCAGTGTGGAAAAGAGACAGGAAATTCAAGGATATAAAAAAGAGAATCTATTCTACTTTGATCCTGTCCTCAGGAGTTCATTTACGTTGGTGCTCTTCAGTGACATAAGTTAAAATGAAGAGTTGCCTTTAACTGGAGTCTTCCTGCCTCTTGGCAGTTCAGAAGATACTCAATTAGCAGCACACTCCTCCTGTGTATTATTTACACGGTTTTAGCTGGAGGGGTGTCTCTGTGTGAAGCATCTGCTTGGAAATATTTGGATGGCTACATCCGTAGTGTCCCGTGCAATCCGTGCCAGCCAGTGCCTTCTCCAGCCGATATGTTTACTCAATTTTACCCCTCAATCCAAAGCCGATGGTGCTCTGGCCACTGTTCGTAATGCCTCGAAAGAGCTGCTGTTGTGTCAGAAGTTGGGGTTGGCCCTGGGTCATCTTTCCTGCTTATGGCAATGGCAGGATGGTTTTCTGCAGGGCACGGCTGTTATTGAGGTCCTTTCTGGGCTCAACTGGGAACCTGACAGTTTTTAATCTGTTTGAACACATGTTCAGGCGGTAGCCGAAGGCGGGGGGGGTGAGGAGGGAATGGTTGGATGTGAATAAAAAAGGTGGATTTGTTTATTAGTTAAAGGCACTTGTTTTCTCAGTTCTCCTGGAAACAACAAAACTCCTGCATGGGTCTATGGTGAATTTGGTGCTCTGTTCCTCTGCCAATTTCTCACTTCATTTACTCTATTTTGGTGCTGCTGTAGGATAGCATTTCAGCCACAGCAGGTTTAAATCCTGTGCCTCAACAAAGTCCCACTCCGTGGTCCTGCCAAACCAGCTTTAAAGCTAGCACAAGATTTTTAAAGTACACTTCTGTCTAATATACATTTATTTTACCTTTCTGCTAGCAGCATGTGAGAGCATAGTCTCTGAAAGAGCAAAAGATGAGAAAAATCCAATTCCTTATTCTTTTGGCTCACTCACTTGGTGCACAGTCTGATTGTACAGCGGAGAGAGCGAGTTGCCCTGTTTGTATGAATTTTTCACACATCCCAGTCAGAAGGTAGTTTGCAGCTTTGTTTGCAGTTTTTCTTCCAAACTTGATGATGTTAATAATGGTGATGGCATCTCATTGAGGAAGGCAACTAAACATCATTTTATATAAGGCTTATCTGCTTATCATTTTGCTTTTCTGTTTATGTAAAAGTAGGAGTAAGGGGAAATTATGGTCATGTAGATAGAAGTTCCATCTTTTAGGTTATAATAGCACCTTTTATGCCAAGTGCATTGCAAATGCTGCTGTTAAATTATAGTAGTAATATGCTTTTATTAAGAGCTTCTTTTAGAAGTATTTGCAAAAGTGTGGTGAAGCAGAAATATGCTTTTAAAAGCAAAGGAGTAAGAGAAAATCCAGCTCCAGAGCATATTTCAAGTGTTGTTAATCCCACCACCTGGTGGAGCTTTTCGTGGCACTGGCTGAGGGAATTCTGAATAAGGATATTTTTTTTGTCCTGTTTAACACTGTCAGATGCTACATGTAGTTTCTTTAACTTTTTTTTTCTTTCTCAAAGCAGACAATTAATTTTCTGTATCCTACATATTGTATACTTTGCAGAAGGCAGCACAGAACTATTGGTGTCTCATCTGAAACGGCACTACTCTGTAGATAGATAAATCAGTGAAGTATGAGATAATTTCATTTTTTTTTTTCCTTCCTGTCCTTGTCTTTTCCTTGCAACATGCTTTTTTCGTTTTTTTTTTTTTTTTTTTTTTAAGGCAATATGATGCTGGCACAGAGCATGACTGTGACTTGGGCATCCACAAGCTATTTGTTTTCACCTAGGAGCACTTCTTAAGTGGAAGAATTATTTTTAATAGCCAGCCCTTCTTCCAAGATACTGTGATGAAACATTGCACTTCAAGCTCAGTTCGCTTTGTACTAGTAATTTTGATATAAACATTGCTATAAAATATTTGCTAAACAGCCTGCAAATAATCAAGCTTGCAAGCAGAAGAGAAGCAGCCACATTTTTGACTGATCTCAGATTATTAGTGTGGTTTAAAATATGGACGTAAATTCCACCGAATAAGGCAAAGTGTGGCAGAGCTACCTTTGCCCTGCTCTGAGATATGCAGTCCTGCCTAAGTGCATCAAAGCTTGTCTATCACGTTTATGTTATTCCAAAGAACTGCTAAATGAAAATCTAAGTCAGATCTATGCAAGTTAAAAATAACTTTTGGACTTTCTGTCAGCTCACGCCTCAGAATGGAATTATTTAAAACAGCGAGAAACTTCCTTGTCCCATAAAAATGTTTACTGAGCACTGTGGCAAATGCAAAAGACCCAAACTTGCAGACAAATTGCTGTTGTAAATGTTTGTATTACTCTTGTTACTGTAGTCCCTGTGTCAGCAGACAACAGACTAATGGAGGCATCGGCTAGGATAGGATGATGGTCCCAAATGGAGGTGATATCTCACCTGGGTGGACCCAGGTATGCTTGGTCCTGCCAGTGAGATGGATAAACATATTTGCAGCCCATCCAGAGCAGATGTGCATCCCTCTCTGGGCTAGCCTGGTGTTTGAAGATTGCTTCAACTCATTGCCCAGTAGGTATCTGCCCAGATGACCGGTAGGTATCTGTTGTCGTCCAACAGGGAGGTAGCTCCAGGGAGCTGTGAATCACCTACCAGGTTTCAGGGATCTTTGCTTCTTAACCATAGTCACTTAGTGCCATCTAAACTGCCATGAACTATCTGTTCTAGCCTTCTGGAGCTGGGCCAGAAAGATAGGAGTCTCTGTCTCCTTGTGTCATATTTGAGACACCAGAAAGGTGGGTTTGGTGTCTAGGGCATTTCCAGTGGCAACTGAAACCTGTGTTTGTCAACTGAATTGATCCTGTGCGTGCCCAGAAAGCACATATTGCTCCAGCCTTTAACTTATGATAACGTTATCAACATAAGCGGCCTCTCTGTAGGAGCTAAGTTCAGTAGAGAGAAGTTGTCAACTGCCTCAGAATTCATAGAAACATAGAATTGCCTAGGTTGGAAGGGAGCTTTCAGATAATCTAATCCAACCAATAACCTAACAGTGACAAAAACTGCCACTAAACCATGACTCTAAGCACTATGTCTTTCTTGTAGTGAGGGGTCCAAAACTGAACACTGTACTCGAGGTGGGGCCTCACCAGTGCTGAGTACAGGGGGACAATCACTTCCCTAGTCCTACTCACCATGCTGTTCCTGATACACTCCAGGACGCCGTTGGCCTTCTTGGCCACCTGGGCACACTGCTGGCTCATGTTCAGCTGGCTGTTGACCAGCAACCCCAGGTCCTTCTACTCCAGGCAGTTTTCCAGTCACCCTTCCCCAAGCCTGTAGCACTGCATAGGGTTGTGACCCAAGTGCAGGATTTGGCACTTGGCCTTGTTGAACCTCATATCATTGGCTTTGGCCCAATGATCCAGCCTGTCCAGATGGCTTTGCAGAGCCATTCTACCAACAGCAGATCAAGACTCCCACCCAACTTGGTGCTGTCTGCAAACTTGCTGAGGGTACACTAGATCCTCTCATCCAGATTATTGATAAAGATGTTAAAGAGAACTGGCCCCAATACCAAGCCCTGGGGGACACCACTTGTGACCGGTCTCCATTCACCACCGCCCTCTGGGCCCAGCCCTCCAGCCACTTTTTAACACAGTGGAGAGTACTCCCATCCAAGCCATGGGCAGCCAGTTTCTCCAGGACAATGCTGTAGAAATCTGTAATCAAAGACCTTACATAAGTCCAGGTAAACAGCATCCACAGCCTTTCCCTCATCCAGCAAGCGGGTCACTTTGTCATGGAAGGAGATCAGGTTTGTCAAGCAGGACCTGCCCTTCATGA